ATTGTAGAGATGAGGTCTCGCCAAGTTGTCCAGGCGGGTCTCAAACCCACGGGCTCAGGCAATCCACTCACCTCAGCCTCCCAAAGCCTTGGTATTACAGGCTGAGCCACCGAGCCCGGCTTAATTTTTGATTTATTGTAGATGAAGTCTCACCAAGTTGTCTGGACAAGTCTTGAATCCGTGAGCTCAGGCAGTCCACTCACCTCAGCCTCCCAAAGTGCTGGGATTACAGGCTGAGCCACTGAGCCCGGGCAAGCAACAATTATTTTATAAATTACCAGTATCATTTTAAGTGACACAAAATAAAACTGAAAGAGAGGCTTGTTTTAAATTATTTATTTGAGCTGTTTGTTCACCTGCTGACTATCCTAGAGAAAGAGGAATAAAGCAATGGCTACATATAGTATGTATGAAGTCTCTCAATCTAACCTGTGGAGCCTCCTATCTTTATAAACTATATACACTGTTTTTTTTTTTTTTTACCATTAAGATAATCTTTTTGTAATCATTTACCACCAAACTGGAAGATACTGAAGCCAAAAATCAAGACTGCTTAAAGTGTATAATTCGTTAAAAAGGGGAGGGAAAAAAGGAAAAACTAAGTTAAACTTAAATTTACATACCCTTGTGGGAAAAATAATTGTTTCATGAATTCTGAACTCTAGAGAAATAAGTTTTCTCTCCCAATCTAAAACACAGTATATACCCAGTAAATCCTTGTTATGTAATAGCAAGACCAAGTTTACTTTATGATTACCTATCACTGACTTTCAAAAGGCATTCAACCTCCAAAATAAGTTTAATCTACAAAACCAAAAATGGATTAATTACCTTTTCAGTGCCCCTTTTCTTTTCCCGAGGCTGATTAAGTTTGGCCTGTCTATCAACCAGAATTTTCTGCCAATACCTTTGCTCGTGATCACCTTAAAAAACAAACAAAAAGTCTGATCGCTGAATGTAAGAACACATGAAAAAAACATATTCAAGGCATTACATTCTCAATAATAGGAGAGTTGTTTGATTATATTTAATGCTACTCTATGCATATTAGAGTAAGGAAAAAAATACTCTAGCTAAGCTCAGAAAATATAATTACCCACAATAAGAACTGTTAATAAAATAAATTTCCATGAAGTTTTACCAGAAAGGATCTCGAGTTTCCAGTAGTGTTTCTTTTTAATTTCTGCATATGAATTTATTACTGCTTGAGCATCCTCAGGTGTTTTAAATCTAGCAT